GAGCCCGCCAGGCCGTGCCCTGGGCCCAGCAACCCCGTCTCTGCTCCGAGGCAGGTGCTAATAAAGTTGTTCCAAGCGCTGCCGGAAAGTCGCGGGCGGTGGCCAATCAGAGCGCAGTTTTGTCGCAATTTAGGCGCAGGTTTGAGACGTCATCAGTGAGTGTCGACCGCTCTCGCAAAGCTGATATCCTAGGCGCCGTGGAGCGGAGTGAGGAGGTGAGTGTGATGGAGGCGAGTGGGGGGCGGGAGGCCGGGCGCCGGGGTCTGCGCGGGAAGTGTGTGAGGAGAAGGACAAGGACAGGCCTTCCTAGGCCGGTCGCTGAAAGGTCTGCTGTGCTTCTCCTGTGGCACGGCCCCGGGGGCGTGACCGGCGCCCTCTCTGATGCCCGGGAGGCGAACTTCATCGGGGATCGCTTAAGTAATCACGAGTGTGCCGAGCGCCTTAGGGCAACACGCAGGGCGTGTGGGGTGCATCACAAAGCTCCCTGGGCTGGAATGGGGAGCAGGGGTCGGACGGGGACAAGGAGCGCGCGGGGCCGAGGCGTTGGGCCGGGGAAGAGTGAGGCGAAGAGGACTGACTGCACGAGGCTCTGGAGGCGCGAGAAGAAGGTGGTAAGCCTTAGCAAGGTGGCGGTGAAAGGGGTGTGCTGTGGAGACGCCCCCAGGGAACAAAGGAAAGCGCTTGTCCTTGTGGAGTCTGCATACTAGAGCTGACAAGAAGGACCAGGGCCTGCCTTCTGGTAATAGGAGGGACTCAACTGGGATATGGTCTTGCTCCCCATAGGCTTTGGGATGTCTCTGGCAGATGAACTCTTGGCTGATCTTGAGGAGGCAGCAGAAGAGGAGGAAGGAGGAAGCTATGGAGAAGAAGAGGAGGAACCAGCCATCGAGGATGTACAGGAGGAGACACAGCTGGATCTTTCTGGGGACTCAGTCAAAAGTATTGCCAAGCTATGGGACAGCAAGATGGTGAGAGGATGAGGGTGTGGATGGCTATAAAGAGAAGCTCCCAGGAGCAGACGGTGGGGGCCACAACTCTTCTTTAACAGTCCTGGATTCTGACTCTCCTCTCCTTTCCTGACAGTTTGCTGAGATCATGATGAAGATTGAGGAATATATCAGCAAGCAGGCCAGAGCTTCAGAAGGTACTTCCTCCCCTTTGTCCCTTGTCCTGCTGGGCCTTCTTGCTCTTTTGCTCTGTGTTGCTTTGAAAATTGAGTGTAGTTCCCTCTCATCCTTTTCCAGAGCCATTTTCTTTTCTTTTCTTTTTTATTCCATTCCAATTCATTTATCCCCTAAAAATACATTGCATTATAAAGCTGACACTTAAGTGGTTACTCTGAGCACTTACTAATTGTGATAGTACTTATTTCAAGGTTCCCCAAACTTTAGTGATTGACATGACCAGTTGGAGAGTTTTTGCTATTGTGTAAACCATATGTCCTATTATTAACATTTACTTCAAATTAATGAATGTTTCTGCTAAAGTTTAAAAACTAAGGGAATTACTATTACAAATGGAACACTGGGAGTCATTTGATAAATAAAAGTAACCATAAAAATAAATACAGTTGTTAGGGTATCACCTAAATTCTTTTCACACTTCTAACTTTGGGGAACACTGGGTCATCTCTTAAGCACTCAGATCACATCTTAAGAGTGCAGTTTGGTTTCCATTCCTCTTCTTCTCTGCAGGATGGGCTCTCAAGTGAAATTCCCTAGCAGTGGAATTTCTGGGAAGCTGCTGGGCATAGGAATGATGTAGTCATAGTAGAGCTTCAGGGAGATTCACTTCTTCCATTATTTAACACTTTCCTGAGCACTCTCAGTTGAATCAGCCCAGGTCTCTGCTTTCAAAATGCTGAGGGTCTAGTGGAGGAGTTAGGCCAGGCTCCAGGCAGTTATTGGTGGGTGGTGACAGGCTCAGTACACTTCAGAGCCACAGGGTGGGTTGGCTGAACCTGTCTTAGGGGTCAAGGAAGAAGTGATACCTAAATTAGAGTTTGGAGCATGAGTACATATACCAAGCAAAGAAAGGGAGGAAGGGGTCCCAGAGCAAGAGAACAGCATGCCCAGAGCTCCAGGCATAACTAGGAAGATGCCAGCTCCTACAGGTTCTAGGTGCTAGTCTGAGGAACTTCTTGACCCAGAGAGCCATGCATGGGCAGTTCTGAAATGGACAACTTCCTGTTGTCAGGCCAGGCTCAGGGACTGAGTCAGAGTTGCTTGGATTTGGTATCTGGTGGGGAAGGTGGACACAAAACAACTCAAACCAGGTGGTGATCCTTGTCTAGCAGAGGTAGTGCGTGTTATGGAGTGCAGAGGAGACATCTGGTTCCCTTGGGTCACCATCTGAGTCTTAAGGGCTTCAAGAGGCATTTGGGCATTCGGGTTAAAGACATTACAACTCTGACTCTGAAGCCACCCTGCCTGCAGTCAGGTCTCAGCTCTGCCATCTACTGACTCCAACATCAGACAGCGCCCTCCATTTCCTTCTTGGCAATTCTGATGTAATGTCCACCTCCCTGGGTGGTTGTGGATGAAGTAAATTAGCACGTATGACACTTAGAACAATGCCTGACACATCCCTGCTAAGTCCTGACCGTGACAGCTGCTGTGGCTACTGCTCGTGGTGATAGGGTCAGTGTCAATCCCATGGCTGTTAGTACTAACACAGAACGAGGAGCTTCTAGAAACAGACTGAGGAAGAGAGGTTTGAGGGAGAGGGAACAGCACATGTGAAAGCCAGAGGAGTGAAACTGAAGTCTGGCCTTTGCGGCTGGGGTGTGAGGAAATGGAGGTGTGCTGAGAGGATGGGCTATGAGACTGAGCCAGACTGCAGAGTGGTGAGTCCTCAAGTGCCAGCTGAGTGGCTCCAGGGTCTAAGCACCAAAGGTGCCTCCTCGTACTGGTCCTTACCAGGTTTCTAGGCATATGAGGCCTTGAATATCAGTCTGGGGAGCTTAGTTGTGAGCCTTGGGGTTTTAGTTCTGGGGCACAATGGAGTCAAGTCTAGACTGGCTGACAGGGCAGACCAGAGGGAGAGATTGGAGGCAGGCCGTGAGTTCCGGGGTATTTGCAAACATAGATCCATCAGCTAGTGGACGTTCAGCCTTCCTGCTTCCCTCCAGCTTCATACCCCTAGCTGTGACCTAGGAGGTGTGGAGTTTAATCACACACCCATCTAGGCTGCTTCTCATCTCCACAGTGATGGGACCAGTAGAGGCAGCCCCTGAGTACCGTGTCATCGTGGATGCCAACAACCTGACTGTGGAGATCGAGAATGAGCTGAGTGAGTGCCGAGAAGGGCGGTGAAGACAGCTGGTCTCCCCTCACTCCCTGCCCCTCCCCACAGGAGGGACAAGCAGGAACCTGGACCAATTCCTTCACTGGCCATTCCCAGGGGGCTTCCCCTGAGCCCTGGTGTTAGCTCGAATCCAGGTTCAGCTGCTGTAACAGTGGCTTTCATGTGATACGTGAGTCAGAGTCAGCAGACCAGGCCTGGTGTCACCGTTGAGTCTCTGCAGGACCCAGGCTCTTTCTGTCTTGTTGCTCTGTCACCTATTTCATGCTACAGGGTGATGCCCTGCTTCCATCCCTTACCTCCACACCCCCACCAGTAGGTGGGAGGGAAGAGAAGGTCCTGGTTCTTCTTTTCTTAAGGGCATGACCTGGATATTGCACAGGTCACTTTGGTTTACACTTTGTGGGCCAGAACTAACTCATGCGGGCACACCTACCATTAAAAGCAGCCAGGAAATGTAGCCTTTATACTGGATGTCCGTGTGCCAAGCTGTGATTCAGGGGTGTGGTTTCTAAAGGAAGAGGGGGCAGTGGACATTAGGAACAACCAGTAGAGCCTGCCAACTCCTCACTGGACATCTGCTCTTCTGTTCACCTTAGACATCATCCATAAGTTCATCCGTGATAAGTACTCAAAGAGATTCCCTGAACTGGAGTCCTTGGTCCCCAACGCATTGGACTACATCCGCACAGTCAAGGTGAGTGGAGAGAAGCTGGACCCTGGAAGAACTGAGGCCATTAGAGTGCAAAAGGGGGCAAGGCCCACTCAGACCCTTGGTCCAGAAACCTCAAGGTCTGGACATGACGGGAGAGGTGACTGGAAGCTATGGTGTTCTCATCTGCTCAGCAGGGAGGGATGGAACCAGGAGGGATGTTCTTGTGCCACTCCCTGTGCCCCCACCCTTGCTGCTGTCTTCCCTTCATCTCCCAATGGGATCCCCACTGGCCTGACTATCATTGCCCCAGCTGTGGCCAGAGCGGGTGACATTTGAGTTGAGGTCTGAGGGCTGACCCAGCAGCCATGTAAAGATACACAGGACACTGTTGCATAAGTGCAAAAACCCTGACTGGCAGGAGGCAAGAGGAAAGGAGGAGGGGCAGGGAGCGAGGCTAGAAAGGGAGACCACGTCAGACCTATAAGGTTCTGAGTCTCATAGGAGGGCCGAGGGAATTTGAGAAAAGAGCAGCAGGAGGAGAAGAACATGCCCCCCCAACCCCGTGTCCCTGAAAAGACCAGGATGGTGGCAAAGGAAGTCCTTTTCACTACATCTGTGCCCATAGTTGAATGGACCAGTGGGCTTATTCAGGGCACTTCCCCTGGGTGACGACTCTGCTCAGGCCCATTTCTGGATCAGCCAAGCAGGCAGACAAAGCTAATACTCTGAGCGAAACTCTGGGAACTGGTAAGAGGAAGGAGAAGCTCCACATGTGTAGACTACAACTTCCCAGTGTCCCCAAGAAGAGACCCAGACTGGGTGCTGAGCAAGAGCCAACTCCATCCTGAGTTCAAGGACCCTGCTCCCTCCCCTCCCTACCTCAGGAGCTGGGCAACAGCCTGGACAAGTGCAAGAACAACGAGAACCTGCAGCAGATCCTGACCAACGCCACCATCATGGTCGTCAGTGTCACCGCCTCCACCACCCAGGGGTACGTATGCCAGGGGATGCTGTGCTGCACATCTCCCCAGGCCTGGTTCACAACAGAGGCCAGAAAGGGCAGGACAAGGGCCCAGGCTGGCCAGGGTGGTGCTAGCTGAGAACTGTGATTCCCTTGTGCCTCGGCTTCTGGGATGATAGGACTTGACTGCCCTGAATCTACGCACAGGTGTGCCCACACACAGCAGGGGGGCCTGGGCTGATACCAGGCAGCTGGGGTACTTAGCAGGGCTGGGGCCATCTGCCTTGCAGGCAGCAGCTGTCGGAGGAGGAGCTGGAGCGGCTGGAGGAGGCCTGCGACATGGCGCTGGAGCTGAATGCCTCCAAGCACCGCATCTATGAGTATGTGGAGTCCCGGATGTCCTTTATCGCACCCAACCTGTCCATCATCATCGGAGCATCCACAGCTGCCAAGATCATGGGTAAGGCCCTAGGCCATGTCCCACAGACAGGTTAGCCAATGTATTGTATAACTCTGGGAGTTCTAGTCCCTCAGAATGTGACTACATTTGGACATAAGGTCTTGTTTTAAGGATTCATTCTTTTGATGAGGTAGTTTGCGTGATCCTTAAAAACACCCTGTGGGGGCTGGGTCTGGGTCTTATCCATAGCGCACTTGCCTGGCACGTGTGAGGCACTGGGTTTGACTCTTTAGCACCACATACAAATAAATAAAGACCCATCAACAACTAAAAGAAAACACCCTGTGGCTGGTGCAGTGGCGCACACCTAAAATCCCAGCAACCAGGGAGCCAGAGACAGAAGGACTGAAAGCTCAAGATCTGCGACAGCAACTCAGCAAGGTCCTATCCAACTAGCAAGATATTGTCTCAAAATAAAATAGAAAGGGCTGGGGTGTGGCTCGGTGGCAAGGCCCTTGCCTAGCATGTGCGAGGCCCGAGTGGATACCCAGTGCTGCAGAGCTGCACAACACCACTGTGGAGCCTCGTGTACAGCCCCCGTCCCCTTCCCCTGGAAACCAGGATGACTAGGCCCACGCACGGTCGTCAGAGGAGCCCTGGCTTGAAGAAAACTGTTCCAAAGCAGTCAGTATCCTCAGAGTGGAGTAGTGTAGCTTAGCATGCACTTTGGGGTCACTTCTGTTGGGTTTCCTCTGAACCTCCTCTGCATCTCTCTCCAGTGAAATGAGACTCAGTCCTTCCTGGCAGGGCCTCTGTGGGGATCCAAGCAGATCCTCATGTAAAGGCATGGAGCACACAGTGAGTCTCCAGGCGCATGCCCCATGTTTCCTCTGACCTCTCCTCTCCTGCTGCAGGCGTGGCTGGTGGCCTGACCAACCTCTCCAAGATGCCTGCCTGCAACATCATGCTGCTCGGGGCCCAGCGCAAGACGCTCTCTGGCTTCTCATCTACCTCGGTGTTGCCCCATACTGGCTACATCTACCACAGTGACATCGTGCAGTCCCTGCCCCCGGTGAGCCCTCCCTGTTGTCACTCCTCAGCCCCAGCTCTTGCATAGCTGTCAGTAACCGTTAGGAGCCTGGAGAACAGGGTAGTGCAGGCACAGGAATGAGGACATGGGTTCTGAAGCACCGCAGAGCAATTTGGGTGAGCTCAGCGAGGGCTGCTCACCATGCTTTGGGCTTTCCCTCTGTAAAGTGGGGAGATGGTGTCTGCTTCATGAGGCTGCTGTGAGGACCCATTATGTTCAGAACACCTACAGAGCAGGACTGACGAGCAGCCTGAGGTTAGCTTGTGAGTGAGGGGCCCAAGACCCCTCAGGTTTGGTGATTCCCTAGAAGGATTTGCGGGGCTGCCTGAGAGATGCTGGTATGGCTTATTACAGGGGCAGATTCACATCAGCCAACAAGAGGTCTAGGGCTTGGATCCAGGAGAGAGAAGCACCTCAGGACTCAGTTCTTGTCCCTTGGAGTCAGGACACTGTTGCTTCCTTGCATCAGCACATGATAGGCACAAAGTATCACCAACAGGAAGCTCTTGTAGGCCTCAGTGTTAGGCTCTTGGGGCTCAGCTGCATGGACATGATCAAGTTGCCCTTATGACTGATCTCAGTCTGCAAACAAGAGCCCCCAGCCTAAGTCACATGGCTGGTCTTCCCTGAGGGACCAGCTGTATAGGTACACTGGACCACCTCATAACCAGCCAGCCAGCCCAAGGGCTGCAGGCTAGCAAAGGTCACCTCCCACGAGCCCAGTGCAAAGTTAAATTCTTTAATACACATCGTTGCCTCTGGCTTTGTTGTTTTAATGTTATCTATCAAGTCTGTGACCATGGGCTTTCTGCACAGCTTTCACGTTTCTTAGAACAGTAGCCACCTCCCTTTAGAAGCACAGAAGCGTGAATCTCAGGGACACGCGGATGAGTCTCTTTATTTTAGTCACCACGTACTTTGCTTCTGTTACTTAGTAACCTCCCGTTTGTGATACCATTAAGTTCCCTTCTTAAACAGGTTTGTGCTGTGTGAGAGTAGGTTAAGAAAAAGGGTTGATGGCCGTGTGACAGTGTAGGGACAGCGATGGCTGGAATGGTGATGGTGGCGGTTGAGACCATGGTGGCTGGAGTTTTAGAAACACTCAGGGATTTCCCTGAATCCTCACCACACTGTGAAGATGGCACTTCACTCTGCTCCAGTGTTGCCAGCTGCTCTTGGTGCCCATTTTACAGAGGAAGAAACCGAGGTGCTGAGTGTTGGTGGCTTCTCCAAGAGCATGTGGGTAGTGCAGTCATCTGGATCCAGGCCATAGGCCCAGAGCTGGGGTCCACCTCTGCTGCTTGGCCCAGGCGCGGCCTCACACTCCCTCTTGTGTAGGAGCCACGGCTCTGGGACAGGCAGGTCTGGGTCCAGCCCTGGTCTGTTGGCTATGGTACTGCGCCCTGGCCAGCTTCCCTTCTGTCTGTGGGATTGGGGAACAGTGTTGGTGGCCAGTGCTGAAGGGGCATCTGCATGTGGGTTTTCTCCTTTGGTCCTCATGGTGACCTTCCAGGTCAGGTACCGCTACTAGAACACCTGGGGAGCCAGCAGCGTGCCCTGAGTTACATACTCACAGGGGAGGGTGAAGGTGTTGGAGCCCAGTACTCGTGGCCAGGGTCCTCTAGCACTTCCTGTCTTACTCCAAAGCATGAGAGTTAATCCAACCCAGGCCATGTCACCAAGGGCCCCTCCTTTCCTTTGTTCCAGGATCTCCGGCGGAAAGCAGCCCGGCTGGTGGCTGCCAAGTGCACGCTGGCAGCCCGTGTGGACAGCTTCCATGAGAGCACCGAGGGGAAGGTGAGGGCGGCTGGCATCTGGGTCTGTCCAGGGGGCGCCATCCCCAGAGGCCCACAGCATATGTCAGGACCGCCCAGGTGGTGTGTCTGTCTGTGATCCCCCGGAGGCCGGATCTCCCCCACCCGCCCTGTGCTCCTCTCCTGGGACTGTTGTAGCAAGTCAGCACAAACTTGGGGCTTAAAACACAGGTTTATTATCTCACAGTCCTGGAGGTCAGAAGTCCAGAATGCAAAATGGGTCTCACAAAGCTGATGTCCAGGTGCCAGTAGGGCTGTTCCCTTCTGGGAGCCCTGTTCCTATGCCTTTTGCAGCTTCCAGAGGTGGCCTCCTTCCTGGGCCAGCCACCCCCCACCATTTCCAAAGCCAGCCATGCAGCGTCTTGGCCTCTCCAGCTCTGCTTCCATCTTCCCGTCTCCTCTGTTTTAAGACCCCTGTAACCACATTGAGCCCACACTGATAATGGGAGCATGTCTCCACCTCACAGTCATTACCTCAGTCACATCCTCAAAGACTCTTTGCTGCGCATGGTGACAGTCGTGGGTTCTGGTGGTTGGAACGTGGACATCCTCGGGGGGGTATTGAGGGGACATTATTTTGCAGTATTCTCTCTACAAGCAGGGGCTCCTGGACCTCATTCAAGCAGTTATTCAGCAACTTCTGTTTTCCTTCCTGGATTTGTTCAGGAAAGTAGGTCTGTCTCCATCTGGCGCACCTTTGTTTTCCAGGCAGCTGCCTGGTGGTGTCAGGTGCTCAGCCTCTGTGTCTCCTGTCTCAGCTGGGGACACAGCAGGGGCGGCACAGACACGGGCAGGCGTGACCGATGGTAAACCGTGTGTGTAGTTGTCCCTCAGGGCTAAGTGAATAAATAAATGCCAGGCGTAGTTCAGGGCCCGGGTAGGAGGGAAGTGAGATGCCCACGTAGCTGGGATGCCAGGGAGGGTGTCTCTGAAGGGGAGAGGACTTAGGGGTGACTTGCATGGATGCGTGGGGGAAGAACGTTCCAGGCAGAGGAAGTGATCAGGGTAGGGGCCCTGAGGCTGGAGCACTGTGAGCCCCAGGAGAGGGGGCCTGGGGACACAAGTAGTTCACAGGCCTACACACTGGCTGTGATAGAGGCGCCCAAAAGGGGCCAGCTGGAGTCACTCTGAAGGAAGAGCCTCGAGTGATCCGCGGTGTGGGAGAGAGGCTGTGGAGGTGACCTGCCATCTACTGGTCTGGGAACGAGGGGGCAGAAGACTGGAGAGGGGAGGAGGCAGGGATTCTGCCTGGCTGTGTTACCGTTGAAGTGTTCCTGTAGAGGTGGTTGTCCACGGGGTGCTGAACTCAGAGGTGCGGGCTAAGCCCCAGGTAAAGGTTCAAGGGTCATGAAGTCCTAGATGGGATTTGAAGCCCTGAGAGACCATGGGATCCTATAGGACCCCAGGAGGAAGACTCCTGAGGAGACAGCTCTGGTGGACAAGGATGGTGGATGGATGGGCAAGGCCTGGTGGGCAGCCACCGCCTCTCCTCACCCCTCTCCAGGTGGGCTATGAACTGAAGGACGAGATTGAGCGCAAGTTTGACAAGTGGCAGGAGCCGCCACCTGTAAAGCAAGTGAAGCCGCTGCCTGCACCCCTGGATGGACAGCGGAAGAAGCGAGGTGGCCGCAGGTGAGCAGCCCTGGGTGCAGGGCTGGTGGAAAAGGAAGAGGCTGCCATGCTCTCAGCTGACTCCTGGGCCTCTGCTCCCCGCACCTGTTGCAGGTACCGCAAGATGAAGGAGCGGCTGGGGCTGACAGAGATCCGGAAGCAGGCCAACCGCATGAGCTTTGGAGAGGTCAGATCCCTGCCTGGCAGCCAAGGAACCTTGGTGTCCTCCCACTCTCTGGACCCACTCTCCTATCCCAGCCTGTCCCCTTGCCCAGCTCCCCACAAGTCTCCTCTGCACCCAGGCTCCTGAGCTGAGCCCTACGGGCCTCTCCAGTTCCTCCCTCCTACCTTGAGGCTGCTTCAGGGCTCAGCTGACTTTGTGAGGGGCCCAACTGCTCATGAGCCCCCTGGCCGCGCTCCGTCCTATATCTGAGCATTCTCCAGCGGGTCCCTCAAGAACGAGGTGCCATCTTGGCAGTGAACCCCACCCCACGTCTTGCCTCTAATATGCTTGTGATGGAGCACTGAGCTATCACTGCAGCTCAGGGAGTAGCACCAGGATCCTGTTTCTCAAGGGTCCCAGCATCACCTGAGCACTGTCAGGCAGGGGTCTTGAGGGGTCCCCTGTGTCACCTAAGTGCCCTTGGGCTGGGGCTTCACAAGGCACTCGGGCTGAATGGGTGTCTTTGAGGCCAGCACTCGAGACTGCTGGGTTTCAGCAAGTTGGAGGGTGCCAAGGGGCTGGCTGAGTGTAGTCCTTGTGTCTGAAAGATTCTCTCCCTCCCACCAGATCGAGGAGGATGCCTACCAGGAGGACCTAGGCTTTAGCCTGGGCCACCTGGGCAAATCAGGTAGTGGTCGTGTGCGGCAGACACAGGTGAATGAGGCCACCAAAGCCAGGATTTCTAAGACGCTACAGGTATGGGCCATCTGCATGGGGCCAGGGGGTAAAGGGGCCAGGGGCCAGGTGAGCCCAGATCACAGCCTCCCTTTCCCTCCTGCAGCGAACTCTGCAGAAGCAAAGTGTGGTGTATGGTGGGAAATCCACAATCCGAGACCGCTCCTCTGGGACTGCCTCCAGTGTGGCCTTCACCCCTCTCCAGGTACCCTCACTCTCACCAGAGTCAGGTGCTCCTGCCCTGGGTTAGCTTTGCTCCCTGGCCCTCTGAGTGATCCTGGTGAAGCTCCCTCCCCTCTGCCTCTAAAGAAGGCACATGATAGGGCTGTGGTGGAGTTTCATGTTGACAAGGTACATGAAGGGCGTAAGCAGCTCCTGGCATATAGTAAGTGTCAAAGATTAGCAGTGATGGGAGGCGACCCATTGCTGTGGTCAGCACAAACCAGCTTTAGAGTCAGGACTGGAACTGTGTCCAGCCATCCCTCTTACCCTCCATTTAGGTTACATCTGAGGCTCCAGGCCCTTGCCTTGGAAATGACTGGGGCATTGGGGTATCTCATGGCCTTGCTCAAGAAAGATGGCAGTCAGGTGGGCTTGGATGTCATGCCTGAGTTCAGGTCCTTGCCCAACAGTAACAGACAAGTGTGGAGCTGGGTATCTCTCTGCTTTAGCTTACTCACCACAAAGTAAGGTGAACCTGTCACGTAGTGTCAGGAGGAATTGATGAGTTCACTGACTCTCCAGCAAGTGTCTTGTTGAGTGGCCACAGTTTCCAGCACTGTTCTGGACTTCGGGATAATGAGAGAGACAAGTCTTCCCCTCGAGGTTATGGGGCAGCAGGGTAGTGGACTGATGAGCAAAGCACCCAGTGTGTGAGAGGATGGCAAGAGCCAGGAAGAGACAGGGCAGCAGAGGGGCTGGGAAGGGTAGGGGTAGGGCAGCCAGGGAAGCCTCAGCAGAAGACAACAGGTATGCATTGGGCTGGGCATGGTGGCGTACACTGGTAATCTCAGCAACTTGGAAAGCTAAGGCAGGAGGACTGCAAGTTCAAGGCCAGCCTCAGCAACTTAGTGGGGCCTTAAGCAACTTAGCAAGATCCTGTCTCAAAATAAAAAAGTTGGGATATGACTCAGTGGTTAAGCCCCTTAGGTTCAGTCTCCGGGACCAAAAAAAAGAATTACTGTGTTGGAAGAATTCAGAACGGTACTACCACTATCCTTGGCTGGTTTTGGTGGTGGTGTGGTAGGGTCTAGCCGCTTCCTCTGGGTCTGTTTCTTATCCAGAAACCAGGCAGGAATGGCTTTACTCAAACATTGGTGATCTTAACATCATCTTGGGAACTAGTTAAAAAGCCTGATACCTAGGCCCCTCTCCTCAGCCCCAGGTCTGCTGATCAGAGTCTCCTGAGTTGAAGGAAACTCCAGGAACTGGTGAACCGTTTTCATGTCCACTGAAGCCTGAGGGCTTGGGAAGGATGGGGAGCTCTGACACGTGAAGAGGGCCATGGTGGAGGCGTGACCTTTTCCCCACTCCACTTCTCATCCCCTCTTACTCTTCTCATCCAGGGTCTAGAGATTGTGAACCCACAAGCAGCTGAGAAGAAGGTGGCTGAGGCCAACCAGAAGTATTTCTCTAGCATGGCTGAGTTCCTCAAGGTCAAAAGTGAGAAGAGTGGCATTATGTCCACCTGAGAGATGGATACGCCCAGGGTGGCCACCCACTGAAGAGAACTGGAAGCCCAGCCCTCTGAAGGGATCCAGCTCAGAGCCAGGAAGTTCTGGGGTGGAGAGCCTGCTCTGCCCTGCTGTTGGTTCAGGACCAGGACATCAATGGAGTCAGTGGAAGAGACTCTGTCCGCCACCCCCAAGACTAATACCACCACCCCATTCAGGGACAGAACTGGTCTTCCTCATACTCATCTTTTTAACTGAGACAAGAGATCCTTTTTTAGGGAAGAGTGTAATTAAAAGCACAGTACAAAGATCTGTCTTTGGGGAGTGATCATTCATCCAACACCTAGAGGAGCCAGAGCCACTGGGTTTAGGGAAAGAGCTTGGGCTTCCAATCCAGGTGGTGTCTGGGCCACCCCCTCCCTTATCCTGGGCTCCTGGGTGAAGCCCTGGAGAACATCAGTCATCGTGATGCCCTGGCAGTATTGCCCTTAAAGGCTTCAGCATGCAACATGGGCAGACTGGATCATTCTGGTCCCTTGGGCCAGTGGCTTCACCTTCCCAGCATTCACGCCCTCCCCATGAGGTACCTGGGAGGACTGGGAAGAATGCACAGCCCATAGGAGGGGCCCAATAGTTGGATTCTGTTATTTTTTTAAAAATCATTTATTTTTTAGAAATTGTTGGACACAATACCTTTATTTTTATGTGGTGCTGAGGATCGAACCCAGGGCCTCATGCCTGCTAATCAAGTGCTCTACTGCTGAGCCACAATCCAGCCCTGGATTCTGTTACTTTTAACCCATGTTTTCTGGGGGTAGGGGATGCTGAGTTCTGACAGGGGTGAGGGAAGCTGACTTCCTGCACCTGTATGAACTACTGACTCTAAAAGTCCCTGCCAGGTGAGGAAAAGGAGCACACATACACTTCACTCACACTCACTGACCAGCCTGTCTGGGGAACTGGGGCTCAGTTGAAGTGCCTTCACTCACTCAAGCTGAGGGGAGAGGTGTCCTGGTGAGCAACAGTGTCACGGGAAAGGGTCCTTTGTCCACATCTCTCTTCAGAATCTCCTTTCCCTCCTTGACCTGAGTTTGTATCTGCCATTGGTGGGTGGGGTGGAGGCATAGAGGTGTGAATCTCAAAATTCTGTATGCTTCAGAGTTCCTGGAGGACTTGTTAAAACATGTTTACTGGGCCCAGAGTTTGGTTCAGTTTCACTAGGGTGGCGCTTAAAATGTGCATTTCAAACAAGTTCCCAGATGGTTGATATTTATGCTGCTGATTCCAAGGACCACATTTTGGGGAGTCAATGCTCTAGAAAAGTCTTCTGTGAGTGGCTCAGATTAGCAGCACACTGGATCATTTCAGGAAAAATTACTGTCTGGTTCCCACCCCCAGAGAGTAATTTGGTTGGTCTAGTGTGAGCCTGGGAATCTGGATTTTTTTAAATCTCCTCAAGTGATTCTATTGTGCAGCCAAGCCTGACCGTCATCTCTCTGCATTCTTGAGGTTCCAAGTGTGAAGTATGGACTAACAGCATGATCTATGAGCTTGTCAGGAAAGCAGAATCTGAGACCTCTTAACCCAAAATCTGTATTTTAAGAAATCCCTAGATGATTTGTGAGATGCCTACAAGACATCTTTGTACCCATGGGCCACACTTTGAAAGGAAAGCTCTAGATCAGTAGCTCTCAAACTTCCTGGGAAATATGTAAAAATGCAGATTCCCGGGTGCCACTCCCTTAGATCGGTATGGTTCTAGAAATACGAATTTTTACAAGCATTCCTTCCTCTCTTGCCTCATGCAATTCTGACAGAGGTGGTGCAGAATGTCTAACAGGCCATTACTTTTCACCACCTAGAGGAGTGTATTACTTCTGTTGTGTGACCCCAGGCAAAAACCTCCCAGTTCCCAGGAAGCTGAGGTACCCATTAAGTTTTCAATAAGTTATCACCTGCATTCATTTAGCAAAAGCTATGACTGCTTCCTGTGTCTTAAGTACCAGGGAGGCAAAATTCAAATGGGGAACACAAGTAAGTATGAAAATGACAGTCGTGCAAAAATAAATCCTCACCTGAGCATTCAGTATGGTCAATTAGACTTTTTCCCCCAAGAAAAAGACAACGGAGCTGGGACGTGTAACCAGCAGGTGTTACTGGAGACAACCGAGGGAAGGGAAGGGAAGGACAGCCTCATCTGTACCTTCTGCGGCATACTTACTGAAGAAAGGTGCAGAGGACAGTATTCCACTGTTCGCTCACCTAACCAGTCAAGGCAGGACAAAACCTACACTTCTCGCTCTTTCCAACCAATTCTGCTATATATGATACTAGTGACTTGGAGGCACTGTCTCAAGTTCCTTCCTTAATTCATTAAATACTGAGATTTAGAGATGTTCTAAACAGAAGCAGTTAGAGAAAGACCATAAAGCTTAGAATGCAAGAGATGCAGAAGGATGCTCCTGAGAGCCACACCTGCGGGACACACCCTAGGTCACACGTTGTATGTGTAAATGCCGCCCCACTCGCTACGTTATTGGTCAAACTGAGATGAATAACAGAAACAGTGAAGGGAAAGGGGTGGGCCTTCTTGCCTAGCTCCGCCCCCTCGGGCTGTCAGCTGTTTTGATTGGCAGATGAGTTCGGTTCCGCACCAGCTAGGAAGACACCTGTCTCGGATTAGGTACGCGGCTTTTAACGCCCACTCTCCATGCCTTCCTCCACTTTCCCCACCCACTTCCAGGTACAACCAATAGCTTCAAGGCAGAATGTACCCCGCAACCAATTAAGAATGGCTCCGAACTTGACGGACGACTTCCCGCCCCTGATCAGCTTGGCTCCTCCTTCCGACCAATTGGTTAAGGAGAAGGGGGCGGGTACATCCAATCAGCACGACACAGGCCTCCTGATGGACGCACAGGTCCTCGCGCTGGCGTGTTGTGCCCTGAGGCGGGAGGAGGAGGAGGAGCGAGGAAGAAAATCTGAGCCAATCCTAGCAGGCTGCGCGGGAGGCCAATCGAACGCCACGCCTTGCAGCGATTGCCCAATCCGCAGGAGGGGGCCGGCCGCATCTCTGCCAAGAACCAATAGAGTGCGTCCGACGGCCAAGAGCGGCGTGCGGCAGGAGCAATGACAGGCCTATATTCGGGGCTCGGGGGCGGG